GGTCTGGGGTGCCAAGAGAAGAAGTGGGCCAATGCCCACATTAGGAAGAGAGACAGGGTATGAGGAAAGATATTTTCACATCATATATACATATGGTTCTAGGTTCAAAAGGGCATTTAAGCCTGTTATCCCCCGTATGCTGTGAACAACAAAACAATAATAACTGAAGGTATCCCAGTGATGTTCCATGTCTAAGCTGGATTCTCCTGACTTATGTCAAAACATTAACTGAGCTAGCTCAGTCAGTAAAGTGCTTGCTGTATAAATATGAGGACCTTAGTTTGAATCTCTAACACCTACATAAAAACCTGGGTGTGGTGGCCCGTGCTTGAAATCCCAACAGTAGAGAGATGGAGACAGGCAGATCCCTGAGGTTCTCTGGCCAGCAAGTTCCAGTTCCTAGTGAGAGACCTTGTTTCATAAAAGCAAGATGAACAGTGCCCAAGGTCAATCTCTGGCCTATACAAATATGCACACACACACACACACACACACACACACACACAAATCATTATTGTCTTTCTTCTACTAGAATCATTTGCTACTGAGTGGGTAATGAGACCAGGAATATGTTGGGCAACACTTAATGGCACCCAGTGGCTCTGTGGCACTATCACCTTTGGCCTTGGTTATTCCCAAGATGGATTGGCAGGTGTTCTTTAGGATTTCCTTGGATACAGGGGTGACAGGCAATAACTCTAGATCCCAAAGTGTTTTTTTAATTGATATGAGCATGTAGATTGTATTTTTATTCCATCTATAGGTTTAGAAGATATAATTTCGCATATTAAAACTTTCTAAATAAATATACCTGAGGAATTTCTCCTAATTCTGAAGTTCAAGTAATAAAAAGAAAACCAATGATATAAAATTGAATGTCTTTAGATATCTTCATGGCTGCTCAGGGTGGCACCTGCACTATTATCAAGGTTAAATGATGTGTGTGCATTAGTGACAATCCCACTATGTCTAATCTGCTTTACAGGACCTACAAAATCAAATGCAAGCCATGTCAGCCACTACTATCCCTTTTGGCAAATAACTTTGAGGTTAGATCTCATGGTGATATTCATAGATATTCATGGTGGAAATGAGTAATATCTATTATAATCAATAGTGACTCTACTAGTCTTTGGACCTGTATCTGTAACTGCTGTCTTAATTTTATCTCCTCTCATTTACCCTTAAATGGCCCTATGGCAATCTAACTCCGTGTATTTGGATCCCCTTCATCATTTTCCAAGGTCTGAAAGTCAGGAGTGGAGACCCTAAACCCTTTTATGACCCATTTCACTCAGAAATAGAAAGATTGATTCAACACCCATTTCCTAAATGATTTTAGGGTCTCAAATCTCAAGGGAGCAGCTAGTCAGATATTATCAAGCTTAGAGGACATTAGAGATGGATCCCCTCCCTCTTAATCATCAACTTATGAAACCAAGGATTAGAACATCAGAATTTTAACTCCTGATCATAAGAATGTGACCTGAGCCCTTTTTGGGCCTTGGAAGGAGGCATGCATGACATCTGGAATGACCCAGAATATCATTAATAGATAACTATTTAAACCTGGTTTCAGGAGTCCTAAATCTTATAGGATTACTATGCAGCAGGAGGTTTTCTGATAAAGACCAAGGACATACCATTGCCCCTTCCTATAAAAATCCATTAAAATGGGCCTGTGAGTCACCTGAACAATCCAAAGGTGGTCAGGAAAAGCTGTCTGCCCTAGAGACATTAGAAATAGTATACAGTCTGCATAAAACAGATGGGACAATGGTCTCTGGCTATTGTCTATTCTCACTTCTCGAGCGTGCTTCACTTTAGTCTGAAATAAACTCTGCCTATCTTCTACACTATACTCTGTGTTTCTTGTCTAAATTCTTCTGACCAAGACCACAAAGACCAGAGAGCAGATGGGAAGCCAGAGCAAGATCCTAGTGACATTAGGACTTTGTCCTGAGCTGGACAGGGGAAGGAAGGAGGGAAGAAGAGAGGGAGAGGAGAACGAACTAGCTATCAGGGAGCTATGTTGCCTTGTACGATCCTACCTCAAAAGTCAGTGTCCCCTCTGCTATTTTCCATTGGCCAAGATAGTCACTGCCTAGTCCTCCCCATGTTCTAGAAGAAACATAGCTACTACTTCTCAATAAAGAGTGGCTAGATTCTAGAAAGCAAGCAGGACAGGAAATGTGGCCATTTCTCAAAAAGGTAATATAGGGCTAGAGAGATGGCTCAGTGGTTAAGTGTACTTGCTGTTCTTCCAGAGTTCAGTTCCAAACATCCATGTCCGGCAGCTCACCACCACCTAAAACTCTAGTTCTAGGGGATCTGACACTCTATTTTGGCCTCTAAGGGCACCTGCACTCACATGCACATACCCACACACAAACATACATGCATACAACATAATTAGAAAATAATAAACACAAACTCTAAAAGAAAAAGAAAGCTAGTATTAAAACTGGATTCCACAAAGACTGAAGCAGCTATTTGGAGAAGAACAAGAAAGGAGAAAAATCAAAAGTCCTAGGAATGCTGGCTCTCAGAATCAGGAGCACACTGAGGCTGGGAGTAGCATACCAAACAGAAAAATAGGTCCCAGAAGATTTGGTGGAACTCTATTGGTGACCACCATATCCTACTAGAATATAGGGTCTTTCGTAAAAGATACCATTGTTTAACTCACTAATGTGTCTGCAGTACATACAAGAGTACCCGTCACATACAAAGTGATCACTAAAATTTGTTGAATTGGATTGTCAATAGAAGTATAGAAGTAAACATGTCTTCTATTTTTTTTTTTTTTTATACCTTGCTACACATAGTCTAAACCAAGCCCCAGGCCCAAAGAACAGTAGGTTGGCATTCATGGCCTGGGGGCTTGGTCCAGACCATGTGCATCAGGAAAATGTTGATAGTCAGCCTAAAATTGTACCAGTGGCAAGAAACTGAATATGGCTTCTCTTCTTTCAGCACCAGGATCCCCTATGTCTGTCTTCTGTCTGTAGAGCCTGTTTCCTCCAAATTCAAACCTGTTCCCTGCTTGCTTGGGCTGTTTGTTTCGCATCATGGCCTAGAGGTTCTATTTAGCTAGCACTCAGGGCTGTTGAAAGGCTTACCCATAGTTTAAAAAAATGGTAACAGCTGAGCGTGGTGGCGCACGCCTTTAATCCCAGCACTCGGGAGGCAGAGGCAGGCGATCTCTGTGAGTTCAAGGCCAGCCTGGTCTACATACTGAGTTCCAGGACAGCTGGGGCTACAGGGAGACCCTGTCTCAAAAAGACCAAAAAATGGTAGCAAGAGACCCTTTACTAGGGAAAGGCAGGCTTAGAGCTGTTACATTTTCATGTAAGTAATGACAAAGGCCATTTTATGTGTGATGTTAGGAAGACCAGTTGATTTTACAGTCAATTTTTGAATATAGGGTTTTGGTAGTTCTTTTAAAAAATGATTTAAAAAATGTTTTGAAGTTTATTAGAAAATTTACAGCAAAATTAAAAAGTAGTTACTAAGAACAATAATGATGTCTCATTCACCATGTCCAAAAAATCAGTGGCCAGTCATGTCCAATTCCCACTGCATTATTGGTCAGTGGAATCAAAATGTGGCCCAACTCACATAATCAGTACCCAGAAAGGACTCTAGAGGTTCTAAAGAATGTTTTTATTTTTAATTGTTTTTCTGCCTTTGTGTTCTGTGTATATGTGGTGTGTGCATATATGTATGAATGCATGTGTATTCATATTCATGTATAAGCATGGCTGCACACACATGCTACAGTACACCTACATGTCACAGCACCTATATGGAGGTCAGAGGACAAACCCAGATGTCAGACCTTGCCTTCCACCTTGTTGAAACAGGGTCTCTCTTTTTTGTTGTTCGCTGTTTCATGTATTGGTTTTGTTTTTATTTTATGTGTATGAGTGTTTTGTCTACAAGCACATGTAGACATATATATGTCTACATGTATATGTAGACCATGTGTGCCTGGTACTCGAGGAGGCCAGAAGAGGTTGATGGAGTCCTTGGAAATGGAATTAAGTATGAGTATTACCCAGTCTGTGGGTGCTGGGAACTGAACCTGGTTCCTCTGGAAGAGCGGTCAGTGTTCTTAACCACTGAACAATCTCTCTAGTGCATGTTCACTGTATGTCTGGCTAGCTACCTTGTGACCTGGGGATTCTCTTGTCTCCACCTCTTTTCCCAGTAGAAGCACTGGGATTACAGACATGTAGTACTGTGTCCAGTTTTACATGGTTTCTGGGGATTCCAACTCAGGGCCTCACACTTGAAAAATATTCACTTTTACCCACCGAGCCATCTCCACAGCCCTATATCTAGTTATTTTAAAAATATTTTATTATTTTTAAGCCAGGTGTGGTGGCACACGCCTGTAGTCCCAGCACTTGAGTGGCAGAGACAGGCGGATCTCTGTGAGTTCAAGGCCAGCCTGGTCTACATAGTGAGTTCCAGGACAGCTGGGGCTACAGGGAGACCCTGTTTCAAAAAGAGAAAAAAAAATTAGAGAAAAATATTTTATTATTTTTATTTTATGTGTATGAGTGTATTCCCTGCATATAAGTGTACCTCTGTTGTGCAATGCTGGTATCGGATCCCCTGGAACTGGAGGTACGGATGGTTGTTAGCTGCCATGTGGGTGCTGGGAACTAAATCTGGGTCCTCTGCAAGAGAAGTCAGTGCTCTTAACCACTGAACCATCTGTCCAGCCCCCCTACATGTAGTTTTTGATGAAGGAAAAACATGTCAAGATGTGATTTGGCTGAGTAGAAGCAGTGTTAGTGACAGCTATTTATTCAAGTATTTGCACCAAAATAACATGGATAGTCATTGCATGAGTCCATTTAAATTCATTATGCCTGAAAACTATAATGAGGCCTTCTTCTAAGTACCTATGAATAAAACATGTTCCTCATTTACATTCAATGTTATCACTTAAAATAAATAAGTGAGAACTTATGTCATGATTTCTCCTATAAGACTTTTATTAATGCCAGAAATGAAATAGTAAAATCAAAACAAATCTGAAAAATCAGTGTGATCCTAAGTACAAAGATGGTATGAGCAAGAACTAAGGAGATCATTGAGAGGAGGAGGGCCTGTGCAGCTCCTTCAGCTTGGACTCCAACATATAGGTCAGAATGATTCAGTTGGTCCCAGCTCTATAGTGAAACAATTCCAGGTAGGCTGCTGTGTGCCTTTGCAGGTAGGCTGTGTGCTGGGCCTCAGGCATCCTTCCCTAAGGAAAGCTTAACTCCTCACTGTACCTGGACTTGCTGCTTTCCCAACTTGCAGGTTGAAGTCTTTCTGTCCCCCCATCCTGCACCGGGAATGAAATTAGAAAGAGTTACAGAAAACAGAGTGGAATTAATTACAGCATCATCCTGTTAAGTTGATTCCTAAAGTTTTCAGGAAGGTATCTACTACACAGTGTACAGCTATGTCATGCGCACTTGGCTCAGAATGGTCCCTCTTATCATTCCGGTAGCAAACACCAGGCCCTCGTTTAGAAGTGAAGCCTTCTCTTGCATATACACTGGCTGCCTCTACCAGAAAACAAGATTTGGCTGGTACCATTTTGACTTAACGGTACCTTTCTCAGGAGCTCAGGCTGCTGCTGGTGCACAAATTCCCTGTTCTTTGTTTCGCTGTGCTCTTATGTAGCCATCCTTTAGCAATTTTATCAGAACAGGACATGATTGTATACCCCCCTCCTGGAAATGATGTCACCTGTTAAAATACTAATTTATTCTGAGCCCTATCACTTACTCCTTTAATGTAAAGAGTGCCTACATGGAGCACTCTTGTTTTTAATACATCTAAACTGGTCATATTACTCATGTGCACATCCTGTAAATACATTCTTAGAAATGTTTAGTAAGAAAGAGATTCATTTCCTTGTCAATTGAGTGAATTCACTACTACTGACAACTTTGGTTGCAATTTCTCTTCTATCTTCATCTTTGTGTGGTTCTTGATCCTTGGGATTATACTTTTCCTGTACAAGTTTTTGCCAGGCAATCAAGGATCCAAACACCAGTGTCCAACACCTGGGGAATTTCTCATTTATGAACACTGGAACGCTGTAGCCCTGGATTCTTTCTTGCCCAAGATTCTGTTACTGTTTGTCAGTCACATGAAGAAGGCAACTCCTCACAAGCTCTGGCCTATGTATTGTGGCATGCGGCTGGCCATGAGGTACAACCACTGGGAAGTTCTCTCCATGCTCTGTCCAATGAACTAAGGACCCTGAACTCAATTTAAAGCACTTGGCAATGTCCCTCATTTTTCTATATGAACAAAATGATGTAACCAGAACTACTCTTTTGAAAATCAAAGTGACTTCTTGTACGGTATTAAAAAGGAAGATTTTGGCATTTATCTGCCTTTGAGGCAGTTTGAAATGCTCGCACCCTATGTTAAAACCTACATACAACTCTCCTGGTTACACTCACTGCCTATTTGAACCATCCTTATGTATAAGATAGACAGGTTAGAATGGCAGAGCAGGATCTGTTAATTTCACTTATGTCTTCTAGCTGTAGATGATCTGAAAGATCACAAAAGGAATGAAATAACACTCCATTCCCAACTGAGACCTTCATTCTGGGTACCTTGGGCCCCAGAATCCACAAAGGAATTTGCATTCTTAGACCTAGTCATTTCTCAAACAGATGGAAAAATAGGTTGAAAAACCTGAGAGTAGAGCTCACTGTTAGATTGTTCTGGTCATTTCTATCACTTATAAGCTTGAGTCCATCATAGGGCAACCAGCAACAATGCATGTCTTCCCTGAAGTGGTAAAAATTCCTCTATCAGCATTAGTCAGCTAGGCAGAGAAAACAGGCAGAGAAAAATGTTGATTGCATAGGAGACTCTGTGGTCCAAGATGAATTTCAGACTGGCCACCAGGAGGTATTTCTAATCATAACCACTACTGATGTTAGAGTTCCAAATGACTATCACACAGAGACCCTCACTGCAAATGTTTATCTTTCAAGTATCATAAGCACCTTATCAGATCCCTGTGGGAGGGAGAGGCAATGGCTCAGGTCAAGTCTGCAGGTGTTTCCTAGAGGTCACCAAGATTGACTCAATTGATGGATCTTGTCAGACTCTTCAGAGGTAGTATGAAATAGAAAAATAAACCTGTAATTGACAGCCTGGATAACTCTAAGCCTGATACTGTCTCAACTCTGTCAGTGATCCTAGACAATATGTTTCCTCTTCTGCTTCTTATTTTTCTTTTCTTCAAAGTGAGAGTTAACAGTCTGTGCCACACCTTGCTTCCTAAGTATTTTAAAAGAGATGAGATGATATATGCAAAAGCACACTGGACAAAGGCCAACAACAACACAACAGCACACTTAAGCCAGGTAGTTTATAGTGCCATTAGTGTCATCTGATAGGCTATCTTGTAGCCCTTACACCTTGTAGCCCTGAGGAGTTGCCTTCAATCTAGAGCTTATTTTGCCATTCTTAATGTCTAAATAGATCACTGCCCATCACTTGAACTGTATCTTCTTGAGAATAGAAATGAGAGGCTTGATGAAGTCTTTGGAGTAAAGACTATAGCTGCATTGGCCACCATTGCCAGGCTCGAGGTCTTCAGCTATGTCTTCAAGGGATGCAACAAGGATGTCTCCAAGTCTTCTTTGCTGGGATAATTTATGATTCTGGTCAAAGTGTGGGGGATGGGACAGAATTTCAGATATTGAAGACAAAAGCTGTCATCGTATTGGTGTCAATATTGGTTCCAATCTTTGTTCCAAACACTTAATTTGAGAAATTTTTAACAGAATATTTGGAAAACCATTTTCCCAACTCTTCTGATGTTGTTGCTGTGTCTACTAGTCTGAATGAATGATAGTTTTTACATCTCTATTTATGGCTGTGGCACTATCTCTTCTTTCTCTGTGACTGTGGAATCAATGGCAAACATCCCTGAAGCTTGAGAAATAAACTTCCACCACCAGCTATGGCATGGGAGGTTGGACGCCCTCAGAGGCATCTCTGGAAGAAAACTGATCCTTCTTTTTGTTATTCAATGTATAAACAGGTCCTCTTTTGTAAAGATTTTTGCCAAGATTCCCCAAACCACACATTTACTCTTGGTTTTCCCCTATATTGGCCCTTCGTGTGTCTTTAACGGAAAAACTACAAGCCTATTCCCAAGCTTCCCTGTCCCACACTTGGCCCAAACCCACACTTCTCAAACTTTAGATTGCCTCTCATCCGTCCATTCCTGCTTGGTGCTCTGAAGAGCCTGTGTCTTCTGTTCATCCACTTGAACATAGTCTACTCTGTGCTCTTCTGAAAGAAGTTTCTGAAAGGGGAGAATAAAAACGTTTTAATTGCATTTTAATTTAAAAGTGTAGAAAAATGCCTACCCTTCTTTGGCAGATTGTACTTGCTTCCTCTTCCTGTTTCTCTTCCAGCAGAAACTTTATATTGTGCATGTTATGTAACTTGCCCACATCTCCTTTAGTCATTTGACTTGCTTGGATCAAAAGAATGTGAGTGGAAGTGACCTGTGCCAGTGTTAAGGAGAAGCATCCTGGGATTCTGCCTTCTCTATTTCCTCTACTAGCCCTGAACTGAAGATGGCCTGCAACACAAAGGCCCTGGCCTAGTTTTCCTCATGAGCAACAGCTGAAAGACCCTTTGCTGCTGTAAGCAGCTAGGCTTGTATGTTTTAGGTAGATAGCTTATTCAAACTAAATGTCTTTTGTACCTGTTTCTCCTACACCTTCTCACCAACTTTTCTTGAATATCAGTGCAGAGTTTGGACATGTAAACAAACATAAAAATAGAACCATACTATGCATTCTGTTCAGCAAACAATACATTTTTAGACACAATGTGAAACATGACCATACCTTGCTCACTTTCAATCATTCATTTCATGACATATGCTGTGAAATGAGTGATGTATGTCAGTTAATAGCTAAGATCACTTACTGGAACTCAATCCTCACAGCAGTCTTTGATGTAGGTGGCTTTTTTTTTTTTGGTCTCTTTGAGACACGGTCTCCCTATAGCTCCAGCTGGCCTGGAACTTACTATGTAGACCAGACTGCCCTCAAACTCACAGAGATCTGCCTGCCTGTGGCATTTATTTTTGATCCTTACTTTACAGATAAAACTATCCAGAGAGTTGAAGCTGCATTCAAGGACCTTAACTAAAGAGTTACACTTCAACTTTCACTATTCCCTAACATCTACACACAATAGGCTATTAGTTATTCCAAAGGAGGCCCTTTCTATGCCTCAGGAGCCCTTTGTGTGCCCCACCCTCATCTCTGCCTAAGGTTTTTTTATTTCTCTATGACTTTTAGGGTCAAAAATTTCAACAGTATGAATATTACACAGGCACATAAAGAAAATACCTGAAAGGAAACATACTAGGACTTCATTCTTTCTGGATGGTAGGATTAGGGTTAATTTTAATATTTCTGATTACACGAGTCCACATTTCTAAGACAGTTCTAAGGAGAACATACATGGTTTGATTATCAGAAAAGTCTAAGCAGAAGTGGAATCATAGGGCTGGAGACATGTCTTAGCAGTTAAGAGTGCTGGCTAGTCTTGCAGAACACCGGGGTTTGAATTCCAGCACCCACATGGTGGCTAATGACTGTAACTCCAGCTCCAGAGGATACATACATGTAGGCATAACACCCATACATATAAAATAAAATTACCTATGAATTCTTCCTACCTGCTGCACAGGGGCTGGTGATGCTGAATTGAAGTCCAGGGCCAAATAATCCAAGCTGAATTTCTTTGTCCAGGTAAGAGTGCCACTGCTCAGGGAGTTGCCTGTTCTGTATTCCTCCTAGGAACGAACATCACAGGACTGAAATCAATGATGTATATATAACCAGACTGCTCTTGTTAGAGAACATGAGTTTGGGCTTCATCTAAGCAACTGCCATGAGACCATAAGAAAGTAGTCTGATCAGACCTGACCAGACTTGCCTGCCCATTTGAGTGAGAGTTGACATTTCAAACACAATATAGCAAAGTACTTGCTGCCATGCCAAGCTTTTTATGTGGGTTCTAGGGATCCAAATTCCTCCTGCTTGTGTGGCAGGCACTTTACTGATTAGTTAATCAAGAACATTAACAGGACTAATAGGTACTCCTGTCTTATTGTTTTAGTAGCTCATCTTTCTGAGTATTGGTAATAATATCATTTTGAAAAGGATTTTCCTGCTAAAACAGTTATTTCACCTGTTTTAATTTCATCTTTCATGCCACAGCTTTGCCAAAATGTCAGATGAAATCACTGTCACTCATATTTAAAAGTGAAAGGTCAAAAGGATAATATATGGGGCTGGAGAGATGACTTAGCAGTTAAGAGCATGTACTGTTTTTCTAGAAGATCTGAGTTTGGGATCCTATGCCCTGGCCTCCACAAGCACCTGCATTCATATGCACATACTCCTACAAAGATACACAGACACATAATGAAGTGTAAAATTTAAAAAATTTAAATGACCAACACAAAAGTTTCCATATGTGGGTGAATTTTATCAGTTTTATTGCCAAACACCCCCCAAGCCCACCAGGCTTGGGTCTTCAAACAAGAAAGGAACTCAGACTAAGGTCTGAAGGTTTCTAAGACTTTATTTACAGAAAAGCAGCTACAGGTAGGAGAGAGCTCTCCAGGAGGAAGATTCCTACTGAGGGGTCCCACAGGTCCTTTTTATCTAGCCCAGAGTTGGGTTACCCAGGTGATTTTTTCTAACAGAAACAAAAGGGTTACTATAGATACAGCACGAAGCTGCAGCTTCTGGTGCCCACAGACCGAACTGAAACTAACTTTCTAGAAGACCTGATTTATCATACAGGTACAGCCTGTCAGTTCTGACCGCTGAAGCAGAAAGCTCAGAAGCTCTTAAAGTGACACTGCTCTAATTTCCAAAGCTTATGGCAAGCATGGCTCCCGACATTTTATAAGTTTTATCGGCCTGGGGTTTACTGTAGGGGGATCCTACTGCCTGGTTTTTGTGGGTAACACCTAATATCAGGGCCTATGTCTTGCGTCTTGGGCTACTTAAATATCCCAGAGAACTATCTACCAACCTACAGGGCCATTGTAAAGGTCTGGTTAAGAGAGGACAGGGAAAGGGCTCAGAATTGTTCTCATATCCACTATATGCATTTGCCCACCTTGTTTTCAGTCTAGTGTCAAAACACAGGGGTGGGGGTAGGGGAGAACAGATAACACAGAGTAATAGAGGAGGCAAATATGATCGAAGTACACCTTATGCATACATAGAAATATCATAATGAAATTTCTTTGTACAATCAACACACATTAATAATTTTTTTTCTCAACAATATAATTACATACTAGGTTTCCTTCCTCCCATACTGTGCCTTGGATGGATGGGCATGGTAGGTGGCTTATGACACAAAGCCTTCCATGCTGGGTAATAGGGCAGGGAAGTACAACTACCCTGGGCCTGGTGAGGCACTGATGCTGCTGGGCCCAAGTATGAGGGCCCCAAGACCCTGAATGTGGAAGGTACCTGCCAAATTCAGTTCTTTATTATCTGCCTTTCCCCCTCTCTTTTTTCTAAGTCCCCTTATATAATTTGTAGTGTATAACCCCACTATTAATAATATATATATTACAGATGGTATATAGGTAGTGTGTAGCTCAAGTATAACTAATAGTTTCCATTTTCTGATTTTGTTGCCACCTAGATTCCACACATGAAAGAGAACATTTGATACTTGTCTTTCTGAACCTGGCTTATTTCATGGAATAGACCTGTAGCCAGCATTACATATACTACATGGGAAAAAATGGAAGGCATATCCTCTAAAATTGGGGATGAAAGTGTCCACTTTCAACTCCTTCAATATAATGCTTGATGTCTTAGCCAGAGCAGCAAAGCTCAAGCTGACCTTTGACCAGTGTTTCCTTCCAGGGAAACAGGAAGACTAAATAGATTCATTTTTATTAGCCAGTGATAATATGATAGTATACCAGGGAATCTTAGATATAAGCAGGTTAATTTTTTTCTTGTAAGCAGAGAATACCCCACTGTGTAACTATGTTCTGTTCCTTATGACCTCAGTGTAAAGAGAGTCAAAGTGAAAGTAAAAAGTAAAGCGTCCTTTGAGGTACATTTCACTATAGCTTCTCCCAGATACAGAACTTGATGGAAGATGAATATCACACTTTGCAGGTGAGAGATAAATACTTGAAGGTGACTACTGCTAGCTGAATACTATATAGGAACAGAAAGATGACTTAAGGATGTCCTTAATGAGAATTTTGAAATTTGACCTTTAAAAATTACTTGGATGAGTCTAGGAGTCTCAGGAATACTGAAATAACTGACTGCAGACAGTACATGAATATACATTTAATACACAATATGAATATGAATAAATATTTTAATGTGCTTCTTTGAGAAAAAAGCTTGAAAACTAAATTCAACAGTGCATTTAAAAGATTATATACATAGCCAGGCATGGTGGCACACACCTTTAATCCCAGCACTCGGGAGGCAGAGGCAGGTGGATCCTCTGTGAGTTCGAGGCCAGCCTGGTCTACAGAGCGAGTTCCGGGTAGCTGGAGCTACAGGGAGACCCTATCTCAAAAAGACCAAAAAAACAAAAACAAAACAAATAGTGAGACTCTCTCTTAAACAAGCAAGCACAAATAAAAAAAGAGATCATATACCATGATCCATTCGGTCTCATCCCAGGGAAGCAAGAATAGTTCAACAAATGCAAATCAATAAAGTTAATAGAGCACATAATCATACAGACATAAAGACAAAAATCATTGATCATCTCCATAGATATAGAAAAGGTCTTTGGCAAAGTTCAACAGCCCTTTACTTTATGATAAAACTCTTGTGGAAACTAAGTCCAGAAGGAACATACTTCAACATAATAAAAGCTATCTACTATAAACCAATAGCTAAAATTAAACTAGGAGCTGCAGAGATGGCTCAGTGGTTAAGAGCACTGACTGTTCCTGTAGAGGACCCAGGTTCGATTCCCAGCACCCACATGGTGGCTACGAACCGCCCTTAACTCCAGTTCCAGGGGAACCGACACACTCTTCTGACCTCTGAGGCATTGCATGACACAGGTGCACTCACATACATGCAGGTAATACACTCATACACATAAAATAAAAATAATAAATAAAATATTTAAAAAAGAAAATAAAATAAAATTTTACTAAATGAGGGAAAACTGAAGGCATTTCCTCTAAATTCAGGAATGGTGACAAGAGTATCTCTCAAAAGTCTTTGCCAGCTTTTCATCTAACAAGAGATTGATATCCAGAAGATATTTTTAAAACTTAAAAATAAACAGAAAACAAATAATCTAGCCAGCAAACTAGAGAATGAATTGAACAAATAGTGTTCGAAAGAAATACAAATGGCCAATAAACACATAGAAAAAAGGCTCAACATCCTTAACCATGAGGGAAATACAAATTAAAACTACACTGAGATTCCATCTCATCACAATCAGAAATGCTATCATCAAGTAATCAAATAATTGCTGGTAAAGATGTGGAGGAAAATGAACCCTTATACACTATTGGTGTATTAGAACAGCCACTATGTAAATCAGTGTGGAGTTTCCTCAAGAAACTAAAACCAGAACTACCATATAATCCTGTTAGCATTCTTGAATATACACACCAAAGAATCAAAATCAGCATACACCAAAGATATCTTCACACCAGTGTTTATTGTGGCACTAATTACAATAGCCAGATTTGGAACAAGCCTACACATTCATCAACAGGAATGGATAAGGAAAATGTGGTATATATACACAATGACATATTATTCTGTCATAAAGAATGAGATAATGTCATTTTCAGGAAAATATACAGAACTGGAGGTCATTATATTAAGCCAAATAAATCAGACTCAGAAAAATACATGATCTAGGCCTGGTGACACACTCCTATAATCCCAGTACTCAGGAGGTAGAGGCAAGAAGATCAGTAGTTCAAGGTCATCCTCAGCTACATAGTGAGTTTGACGTCAACCTGGGCTACATGAGACCCAGTCTTCAAAAAAAGAAAAGACTTAAAAGTAGAAGTAGGACTGACTATTGGAGGGGCAAGAGGGACTAACAGGAAGTGGTAAAAGGACAAGAGAGAAGGAAAGGGATGAGATATGACCAAAGTATATTATGTATACATATGAAAATGTCATAATGAAACATTGTCTTCTAAATAATATATTTGACTTCTTTTTTTGATTGTTTTTTATACATTACTTATTTATTTTTTTTAGAACAGACCCGGGTTCGAGTCCCAGCACCCACATGGCGGCTTCGAACCATCTTTAACTCCAGTTCCAGGGGAATCCGAAGCCCTCTTCTGACCTCCGTGGCACTGCACGACACAGGTGCACTCACACACATATATTACTTATTTTTAAAAAACATAGAAAATATATATTAAAACTACATTGAAACACCACTATACACCTCTTAGAATGTCTAAACAAAATCTGGTAATAACAAGCATGCTGGCAAGGTTATAGAATAAAACTAAAACTCTCACAATTTGTTAGTGCAAGTGCAAAATGCTAGTCACTATGCCAAAGCACTTACACATATGTAGGCAATACATTCATACACATAAAATAAAAATAATAAATAAAATACTTTTTATTCAGTCTTGGAGCTAGAGAGATGGCTGTGGTGGTTAAGAGTACTTATTGATCTTCCAGAGGACCTGAGTTTGGTTCATAGCACCCATGTCAGGTGGCTCACAAGTACCCATAACTCCAGCTCCAGGGGATTCAATGCCCTCTTCTGGTCTTGTTGGGTACCCACACCCTCCTCTCTTACACACACACACACACACACACACACACACACACACACACGCTCACAAAATAAATGAACAATCTTTTTTTTTTTTTTTTTGGTCTTTTTGAGACAGGGTCTCCCTGTAGCCCCAGCTGTCCTGGAACTCACTATGTAGACCATGCTGGCCTTGAATTCACAGAGATCAGCCTGCCGAGTACTGGGATTAAAGGCGTGTGCCACCATGCCCGGCTATAAGTAAATAATCTTTAAAAAAAATATTGTGCTGCGCATGTTGGCGCACGCCTTTAATCCCAGCACTTGGGAGGCAGAGGCAGGCTGATCTCTGTGAATCTCAGTGAAATAGAGGCCAGTCTGATCTACATAGTGAGTTCCAGTCTAGCTAGAGCTGTAGGGAGATCCTATCTCAAAAACTTAACAAATAAATAAATAAATAAATAAATAAATAAATAAATAAATGAATAAATAAATATTATTTGGCCTTAAATTATATATACAATGTAGATGCATCTTAAAAACACTGTTAGAGGCCAGGCATAGTGGCACATGCCTTTAATCCCAGTGCTTGGGAGGCAGAGGTAGGCGGATCTCTGTGAGTTCAAGGCCAACTTGGCCTACATAGTGAGTTCCAGGACAGGTGGGGCTACAGGGAGACCATATCTCCAAAATACCAAAAAACAAAACAAAACAAAACAAAAACCAAACCAAACCAAACACTATTAGAGGCTGGAGAGATGGCTTGGGGTTAAGACCACTTGCTACTCTTGCAGAGGACCAGAGTTCCATTCCCACACCCACATGGCAGCTAACAACTGTCTGTAACTCCAGTTCCAGGGGCTCTGATGTCCTCTTCTGCCCTCTTCTGGCCCCCATGGGCATTGCATGCATGTGGTACACCATACACACAGGCAAAACATCCATGCACATAAAATGAAAATAATTTTTTAAAAACTATGCTAAATGGGGGCTGGATAGATAGCTCAGTGGTTAAGAGCACTGACTGCTCTTGCAGAAGACCCAGGTTCGATTCCCAGCACCCACATGACAACTACGAACCGTCCTTAACTCCAGTTCCAGGGGAATCCAAAACCCTCTTCTGACCTCTGCAGCATTGCACGACACAGGTGCACTCACTTACATGCAGGCAATATGCTCATACACATAAAATAATAATAAATAAAATATTTTTTTAAAAACTATGCTAATTGAAAGAAGGTAGATACAAAAGGACAAATATTGTACAAGTTCACTTTTTAAAATATCTGCGTGTGTGTGTGTGTGTGTGTGTGTGTATGTGTATGTGTGTGTATGTGCCACCACATGCTTGTGGACAACACGCAAGAGTTGGTACTTTTCTTCCACTATATAGGTTACAGAGATTGAACTCTGGTCATTGGGCTTGGTGGCCAGCACCTTTACCTGTGGAGCTATCTTAATGGACCTGATTTTACTTTTATAAGGGACCTAGAATAGGCAAATATATAGAGACAGAAAGTAGAATAGCAGTTATCAGGGGCTTGGACAAAGGGAAAGGGGAGTGGGTGTTTAATGGGTACAGAGTTGGTGTTTGAGATGATAAAAATGGTCTGGAAATGGATAGGCCAGTGAGAGATCCTGTGTTAGAAAATAAGGTGGATTACTCCTCAAGAATGACACTTGAAGCCAGGTGTGGTGGCACACACCTTGGATCTCTGTGAGACTGAGGCCAGCCTCGACTCTGCATTGAGTTCTAGGCCAGATGGGACTACAGGGAGACCCTGTCTCAAAAAACAAACAAAAATGATACTTGAGGTTCTCCACATGCATACAAGTGAATACCCACACACATGAACACGCATATATACATGCATACAACATACCATTTGTACTGTATGCATGTATAAACAGTATTACAGGGCTGAGGTATATTAATAGTTCAATTGGCACAGTGCTTGCTTAGCACAAATGAAACCCTGAGTTTGATTCCCAGCCCCAAATAAATCGGGCATGGTGTTGCATGCTTGTAATGCTAACACTCAGGAAAGAGGTAGAAGGATCATGAGATCAAGATCATATTGAGCTACATACTGAGTTCAATTCAGCTTGGGCTATGTGAGACTCTCCCTCTAAAAATGGTACTATAATGCAATAATAAAAATTAATGTATTTTAACATGATGGTATTCCACACTTGCAAGTTGTCCTTTGACCTCTACATTCAGACTATGGCATGTGCACATGAGTGCATGTGAGCACACACACACATAAGTAAATAAATTTAATTTGAAAAAGAAAGAAACTCACAAAATGGTACTTCTACCAGTATTGCTGTGTCATATTGCTGTGTAAGAGTCATTGACCACCTATTACACACTTAGGCAAACAATCAATATTTAACTGTGTTGTTGATGAAACGACTGATCTTTCTTACAATCTCAAATATTTTCTTCTTTTCTTCTTTAAAAAATATTTTATTTATTATTTTTATTTTATGTGTATGCATGTATTGTCTGAATGTATGTAAATGCACCTGTGTCATACAATGCCCACCGAGGACAGATGAAGGCTTCGGATCCCCTAGAACTGGAGTTATGGACAGTTGTTAGCTGCCATGTGGGTGCTGGGATTCAAACCTGGGTCTTCTGCAAGAACAACTGGTGTTCTTGACCACTGAGCCATCTCTCCAGCCCCAACAATCTCAAATATTAAAAGTATATTGCTGGTGTCTGGAATGACTTTGCACTTGCTTCCATTATGTTTTAGGTTCACTTCCCTTTTCTGTTCTCCAGAGACAGAACACAGCTGTTCAGAATCCTTTATAGGAATGTTTTCTTCTAGAAGTTTCCCAAGGGCCATTACTAAGTATAAGAAATATTGGGAAGAACACAGCAGATTTGTATATGAGTCACTTTCCACCTGCATATGGTTAAGTGAATTATAGCACAATTTTTGTCAAATAAGACAAAATGAAGCATTTAGTTATTGCTTTCCAAGAGGCTATTCATTTTAGATTTTATTTTTATATAACATTTTTATCCATTCATTGAGAATTTCATACTTACATACAATGTATTTTAATTGCCCTTTATCCTCATGCAGAGGAGGATAAGATTGTCTTATGATCACTGCCTTGAACATTGTTCTGCTAAGATCACTTCAAAATTTCACAGTTCATGTTGAAGTTCTCTCTGGAATTCCTTATATTTCTAAGTTGCAGAATAGGCAGAGTTCTGGCTAAATGAGTCACTAATTGCTAGAAATGCTTAAAGCATTTTCAAAAACCCATGATCTCAACAGCATCCACATGAAGAGAATATAAGATAAGGGACAACAGTGTAGGAGGGAGACATTAGTACCTTGAACTGTGAATGGCTAATCAAGGGACAAAAAAACCACATCTCTACCCACCCAGGTCTATAGAATGACACTTAACAGTAGTCTCTAGAAAGGTCAGAGTCAGGTATTTTTATGAAAGAAACCCTCCAATACGTGTTTTTATAGCCTAAACTCTGGACATCTAGGGAATTACAAACCTATTGGAATATAACAGGACACCACAGCTTTGAATAAAAGACTTGACTGAAATTTCTATTTTTCCATAGCAGAGGTCTTAACATTGGGTTCTCCTGAAATACTGTGGCCTCCAAATAGTATAAGGAGCTGAACACTACGGAAAAAAGAATCAGATTCAAGGGAGTTAAGGAATGGCTCAGTCGATAAAGTGCTTTACACTGAAGTGTGAGGATCCAAATTCAGATCCCGAGAACCCACTTAAAAACCTGGACATGATTACACACATCTGTAATCCTAAAGCTGGGTGAGGAGGGGGAGACAGGCAGATCCCTGGAACTCTCTGGCCAGGCAGGTTAGCTAATCAGGGAGCTCTGAATTCAGTGAGAGGCACTGTCTCAAAAGATAAGGTGAAGACTCCCAATGTCAACCTCTGGCCTTCACATGCATGTCTATATGCATATGTATACACATCCATATGCACACAAGTGCACATATACAGCACACATTAAAAAAAGAAACAGAAAACTAGCTTCAAATTGATTTGCTTCCAATTTAGAAAAGCTGTGACCTGGTTTTACAATCAAGTATGAGACTTTTAAGGGATGCAGTTTCTTCATCGTGAACTCTCAAGACTATAGATTTAGAGAAAATAAAAACATGAAAAACAGGATTACCATTTGGATGTAGCTTTCTTCCTCTTCTCTGGAAGCAGGAGTGGCAAAAAATCTTGCAGAATTAATACCATTTCTTTTTGGAGAGAGAAAGCTGGTTCGATTGCTAAGGGGAAAAAAAATACAGATGAGGTCAAAGCCGTGTCTTACAGCTGCTCTGAAACATAGCCAGGAACTAACAGCCCTGTGGGGTTTGAGCTTTCCCCTTCCAGGCACAGCTTTTTGGCCCAAGCAATTCTTGAAGAAAACACTTTCCAAAAAATGTTCTGGAGCAAATGCCTCCCAATTGCTTTTTCCTAGGACCTCCATGTGACACACTTTAGGAGCTTTCTAGAAACAGACCCATGCATTGTCTTTAGGAGAAGTAAATAAAAAAAAAAATACCCTAAAGCAAAATCTAACTAAACAAAGAACCAGCAACAAAACCATACTTCTTTGGGGATGTTTCTGCTTCCAAAGTAGCCAGGAAAACTAAAAAAGTATGGTCTTCCTCTGACAGGACAAGAACAGATGGTGCATTAATTTCCATCATATTCCTGAGAGAGATGCACAGGCTAAGTGTCTCTGCAGTTTTGCCTGGAAATAAAAGTCACTGAATAATTCTGTTTTACTAAGTTATTGTGTCCTCTCACATTTAGAGTGAACTAGGATATTCCTGGGCCAACGTCAGACTCTGAAAATGCAGCTTCTAGGGGATAAGATGAGGGGGCACAGAGATGTTAGGGTTTGTCTACCCAGCTAATGAACTACCTCCCCTTCTCTGAGGGTTCTCTTCTCCAGTCTCGTTAATAAAGCTGAGCTTCCAGAAACTTAGGCTGGTAGTACTAGCTGTATACCCTTGGCCATAGATGATTCGGCTCAGACACAATTCCACAGTTCTGTCTCCCAGCATATCAAGAGTTGGGAGTGAAGCTTAAGCATGTAAACAAGCCTGGAGTAGGATCATGCAACAAAGAAAAGAGCTTTGCAAAGAGCAGATGTGACAGAAGTGAAGATGCCCTGCATTCCCAATGCTACTCTTCTTCCTGGCTTCAGAACCCTCAGAAACCTAATCACATGCTTTCCTTTCTGCTCTATAAACCACCCTTGGCTCTTGATAACAAAACCAGCCCCTCCTTTGGCTTAAGCAAGGTCAAGTCAACTTCAACCACAAGAGACCTAAGTAAGGCTTGAGGCTTACCAAGGTACAGTTTGAGTCCTGGTTAGAGATGCATGCTCCCGGATTGTGGAAAGGTTTCTCAGGTCCAGGGGAGGTGGCCGTGCTACAAGACAATACACAATATCAACTATAGTCAGTTCTCAGGAGTTCAAAGCCAGAACCTAAAGACTGTAAAAACCATCACATCCTACTTTCTTAAATACCAAATTCAAATGAATGAACAAGAATTACTGGTGATGAGTATGAATTTCAACATCTCACTCTTCCCTGACTCCCTGGGGATAAAAATAACCACTAAGCAAATGGCCTCATGCCTGCTAGAGGAAACAAAAATGAGGTCATATATTTAGTTAATACATATTTACCAGGAACTCACGGTCTATCAGGCATAGTTCAGGTGTTAAAGACACAATATTAACCAAATGTACAAAAGTCTCTGACCCTGAGGATGACCATTGTGTTCCAGACACTCCACATGTCTGAAAGGCAGAGATGGTCACCAGATTCTCATCTCCACTTGATGGTCCTTCTGTCTAAAATATTCTTTACCATATTGTTGCCTGGTTACTCATCTTCCCATCTTAGCTTGATGCTACCTGCCCTGAGTGGCCTTTTCTGGCCTCCAGACAGCATCAGATCTCACATCAGAGGCCTCACGCTTTCCTTTGCTTACTCTTCATGTACCCCCCCCAGTTTATGATGAAACAATCATCTGGGATTATTGGACCCTGGTCTAGACTGTGTTCCAAGATGGCAGAATTTCTTTTTCGCTTGCTCGTAGGAGCAGCCTTTACACTTGGCACTTGCCTCAGGTGCCTATCTGGCTACATTGGTATCTATTTCCTCGAATAGACTACATGGGCAGAGACTGCTGACAGAGACCTTCCCACTACCCAACTGTTTTCTCAGGTACTATGGGTCTGGCAAGTGTCTAGGCTAGAGGGGACACATGAGTCATTAAATCCATGGGTACATGGTCTGTCCTGGCAGCATGATATCCACCAACTGCCTTTGGGCTTTCTTATTTGCTCTCTCTTACATGGATTCCATGGTTTATCCCCTGCCTGGCCCATGTGTTCACCCTTACACTTTCCTACCAAATCTTTATCCCTGAGTTCATCAAATACCTTCTCTTTGTGAGGTCCTGTACAGCTTCATTGTTTAAAATGTCCTGAAGATGTTTCTAACTAGAATGGATAGTTATTTCTTCTGAACCTCATGAAACAATCTGTTCTCTTATTTAGTACTGACTTTGTAATTCCTCTTGTTTTCTTCCACGTGGCTTTGGTATCACCCTCCTCTCAGACTTAAGACCCTTCTCATCTCTGCATACCATCCAGTGCCTAGCACAACACTACACACATGGACAACATTCTGTAAATGTGGTTGGTTTAAACTCTAGAGGGTGTGGCTGACTTGAGTAAGGGCTCAGTTAGTAGTTTGGGGCATGGCCACCAAACTACCGCCAATTAGCAGTTTTTCCAAAGAGCAGTGAGAGACAGGAGCAGACAATATGGTATGTCAGGGAGCATAGCCACTGCATCAAATGAAGTTAAGAGTTGATGATAGAACACTGAAGTCACTGGTTACTCTCTGCCTCGCATATATAAGTAGTTCATGCAGTTACTGAACACTTTAGCCTCTGTTGTGCCAATTCCTCTGAGTTGAAGCATTTCCTCATGGAGGGAAGTGGGACGCTCATGAAACTCAAGAAGCTAGCCGGGCATAGTGGCACATGCCTTTAATCCCAGCACTCGGAGGCAGAGGCAGGTGGATCTCTGTGAGTTTAAGGCCAGCCTGGTCAACATAGCGAGTTCCAGGGACCCTGTCTCAAAAAAACCAAAAAAAAAAAAAAAAAACCTCAAGAAGGTAAGAAAAAAATTACAAGACTCAGGAAGCTCAGAAAGTTGTGAGGCTCACAGGCCATATACCCAGTAAACTCTTGCTAAGGAGGAGGGTCGATCTTCACTGAAGCTGCCTACAAATTACATTTGTGGGGTCTAGGAATGTAGCTTTCTTGAGCAGTCATCCAAAGTGGAGTTAGATTTTTGGTGATGCAGTTGCCTTAGTCACCAATGCTCCTGTAAGAATCTTCTCACTGCTTCTGTAAGCAATGAAATTAAACTCACTGATCTATCAAGTTAGAAAAAAATAGAATTCCCTTTGACCTACATTTTTTCTTTCCCTTTTTTTCTAGCTCCCTATGTGTGTCCCTGATGCTTAGCAGACCAGAAAGGCTTCCTGGAAGTACTTACACAGGGGCTAAAAGCTACCCTGTGTACACAGAGTCATATATTCACTGAAGTCCTTCCCTACCACCACCTCTGGTGATGGACATGCATGGATCAGTAAGTGATTAATTATATTTGAGTATGAAGGACATCAAGGAATTGGTGTCAAAGGCCATTGCTGGCTGCCTTCCAGAAGGCTAGCACTGTATATTCAAGTGTTATTGAAATGAGATGTCTGGTAGCTTCCATTCTGATTGCCATCACTTATTCCTGGGTCTGTGTTATGGAACTAGGCAAAAATGAGCCTTCTGGAATGAACATGGCTTTGTAGACTACATTTGCAGAGCTCTAGTACCTATAAGTTCCTGACTCCCTTTATGTGATTATCTGCATTCTTTCCCATCTGTTTCTTTCTAATAATTATTAGCATGGTATTTCCTCCCTTCCCCAACAGAGCAGACTTAGTAAAATGCCTTACATTTCTTCTGAGGCTTGAGATCTCTGTTCACTGGGGGAGGTTCCAAGTCTGCAGGTAACTCAGGCAGCATGCTTGAGATGCTTCCTGAGTTCATTGGGATGTAGTCATCCTGGCTGCAGTGGGGTCCAAGACCAGACACAGTGGCTTTGGGACTCATAGGCACATAGCTGTCTTCAGCATTAGTTAAAGCTGTGGGGTACATCAGTGAAAACTTGCACGGCTGCAAGAGAAAACGAACAAGTTGGAAACCATAGAATATCTATGGAAACTGCTGCTAGTAGGCTCCATAACTCTGCATGTGGTATCAGTTTTCTGAACTTCCTCAGAAAAGCTGCACAAACTTCCAGCCAAAGTTCTGCCTGGACCCACATGAGGAGAGGTGATAACTCTCCTAGATCTGATGCTCGAAAACTAAAGGTTTGAATTAATGCAAATGCTCTGTGATAGTTAATCCTGATTATCAACTTGATAGGACTTGTAAGTCCCTGAAGATACATCTTTGGGTATATCTTTGAGGATATTTCTGGAAAGGTTTAACTGGGAAGTGAAGATCCACTCTGAATGTAGATGGAACTGACCTATAGGCTGTGGTCCTGAACTGATTAAAAAGGGGAAAGGAAGAAAGTTAGCTGAGTGCCAGCATTTTTTCTTTATTTCTTGATTTGTCAAGATGTGAGGAGTCCTAACTGCAAGCTCCCACTGCCACAAACTCTGCCGCATCCTCCCTGCTACAATAGACTATTGGCTTAAACAACAAACCAAAATAAATTCTTCCTCCCTTATGTTGTTTCTGCCAAATAGTTTGTCAAAGAAATGAGAAAACTAACAGTACACTCTTTCAGTATAATATAATGCTTTAAGTGTCTAACCCATTAGCCCTGAAGGGTCCTTATGGAACACCAAGTCCAATAGTTTCCAAATAAGACAAAGTCTTAGAAACTGGAAAGAGTCATCAGAGATTTAGAGTGCCAAATCTCAAGACTTGAAGAAAACATGTATACATCAGGCTATTTTTGATCAAATCAAAGCTTAAAGGAAATTTCAGGGCCAAACTCACCAGATTTAAACTGAGCCGTTTATCTCGGTGTCTTAAGGATTGGCTTTCTACATCACCTGAAAGACAGAAGCTGGAGTGCTGAGAACTGCAAGATGGTAGCTATTGAAGACAACAACTATACTCCCCAGAGCCTGTGCTCAGCTCCAGAGAGGTAGGGAGACACAAGACACAATTTCCATACAAAAGGCTTGCTATGAAGTCTAGCTGGGAGTCAGAACCTATTCCCCAACAGATGGAAAATCAGACCAGGTTTTGAAGTTTGTATCTCATGGTTTTGGTTCTCTCTGTAAATTAGAAGGATCTATAGCAAGTAACTAACCAATGTTTGCAGCATTTATTAAAAGAATCTTCTAAGCTTAGAGATAGTGAAGGTGGACTTGAGGAGAGAAGGTTTGAAATTACCATTGTAGTGAACAAGAAAAGAAGTTTAAAAGAGAACAACAGCATTGTGGGGCAGCCTAGGGCGCAACTGAGATCTGCTACCATGAATCCATGACTGTGTTTTTTTTTGCCATAAGCTACTCAGGGACAGGCATGCAAAGACAGAGTATGTCAACGAATTTGAATTAGGAACTTATCATATGAGTGTGAAAATGAAACATGAAATTTTAGAATAGTTGTCAAAATCAGAGAAGAATGTCCAGAAAGCATACTGAATACTTAACTCATCCAATAAAGCCAGAATTACTATAATACAAAGCCAGACAAAATAGAAGAAAAGGAAACTATAGACCAAGGTATCTCATGTATATAAATATAAACTTTCTCAAAAATATGAACAAATTCAATTTAATGATACATAAAAAGAATTACATAGTGAGCAAGTAGGATTTATCACAGTTAAGCAAATCTGGTTCAGCACTTGAAAATCAACTAGTATAGTCCACATCAAAAGACAAAAGAAAAAAAATCACATGATCATATCAACAGATACAGAAAAGCATTTGATAAAATGCAATACCCATTCGTGATTTTTTAAAAAGCACCCCCTCCCCCAGTTAACTAGTAATAAAGAACTTTCTCAACTTGACAAAGAAAAGCCACAGAGCATGGGATATAGCTAGGTGGTAGAGTGCCTGCCTGGAATGTTCAAGATCCTGGGTTCAATCTCCAGTACTGAGAAGGAAAGAGAGAGGGAGGGAGGGAGAGAAGAGAAGGGGGAGAGGGAAAGGTGGGATGGAAGGAGGGAGGCAGGGAAAATCTATAATGAAACCATAACTAACACCGTACTTAATGGAAAGAAACACAAAGCTTTCTCCCTAAAAGCAAGAAAAATTCAAAGACATCTCCTCTCAGAACTACATTTAAACACTGCACTACTACATACAAGACAAGAAAAGGAAATAAAACGTATTATGTTAAGAAAAAAATAAAGCGTGTCTTTGTTGCCAGACATGGTGATGCACACCTATAATCCCAGCCGTCGGGAGGCTGAGGCAGGAGAATTGCCAAGAGTTCAAGGCCAATCTGGGATACATAGTAAATTTGAGGCAAATCCATTCAACTTAGTATGACTCTGTCTCACAAAAACACCAAAATCCCCTGTCTTTGTTCACAGATGACAGGATTACATAACAATTTTGAAGAAAAATTGACAAAAATTTTCCTGGAATAAATTATCACTGCAGCCAGGTGTGGTGGCACATGCGTTTAGTCTCAGCACTCTGGAGGCAGAGGCAGGCAGATCTCTGTGAGATCAATGCCAGCCTGGTCTACATGGTAAGTTTCAGGCCAGCTGGGGCTATAGGGAGACCCTGTCTCAATAAAACAAAACAAAACAAAAAACCCAAGACAAATAAATTATCACTGCAAGGTTTCAGGACAAAGTTAATATTCAAAAGTCTATTCGTTTCCTATATTCTAGCAGTAAACAAGTGAAATTTGAAGTAAAAAATGCAATATAATTTACATTGGCACCTCCCAAGATGAAATAGATTATTTAGGAATAAATCTAACAAAATATGTACAAGATCTATATAACTAAAACTGAAAAACTCTGGTGAAACAAATCAAATACTAAATAAATGGAGAGGCGTGGAGTGATGGTCCAGTTGACCATTTGCCGAGAATGCCCAAAAGCCAGAATATGGACACTATCACATGCCAGTGAAGATGTAGAGTGACAGAAACTCTCATTCCTGACTGGTGGGAATGCAAAATGATGCAACCGCTTCGGAAGACATACAGTAAAGCTGTTTCGTAAAACCAAAACATATTTTCAACCACATGACCCAGTAAATGAATTCTGTGGTATTTATCCAAAGGAACTGAAAATAAAAAAAAAATCTTTACATAGATGTTTATAGTAGCTTTATTCATAATTGCCAAACTTGGAAGCAACCTAAATGTCCTTTAGTAGGTAAATGAATAAATAAATAGTGGTACATGCAGATGGTATAATATGATTTGACACTAAAAACAAGCAGGCTAAAGATGTATCTAAGTGGTAGAATACTTGCCTAGCATGTACACAGTTCTAGGTTCAAATCTCCGTATCAAAGGATGAAAAAGCAAGCAAACAAGAAAGAATGATGTAAAGATAGGGAGGAACTTTAAATGCATTTAAGTGGAAAAGTGCATGAGAAAATGTGAGTCCAACTATATAATATCTGACAAGAGCAAAACTTTGGAAAAACTTGGTAGAATAAAGAAATTACTAGAAAAATGTATCTTGGGGCTGGAGAGATGGCTCAGCGGTTAAGAGCACTGTCTGTTCTTACAGAGGACCTGGATTTGAATCCCAGCACTCGCATGGTGGCAAACAACCATCTGTAACTCCAGTTCCAGGGGATCCAATGCCCTCTTCTGACCTCCAGGGACATTGCATGAAACAGGTGCACTTACACACGTGTAGGTAATACAGTCATGCACACAAAAAAGTAAATAAATAAAAAGAAAAATATATCTTACCAAAAGGAACACATCATGAAATACAAAATCCAAACAATCCTTGCTGGAATTAAAGGTATGTGTCACCAACAGGTCTAAATCCTTATTTTATTTTTTATTGATTTATATAGAGAAAAGGTCTCACTGTGTAGCCCTGGCTGGTCTGGGCTATGTAGACCAAGCTGTCCTCAGAGATCTGCCTGCCTCTGCCTCCCAAGTGCTGGGATTAAAGCTCTGTGCCACCATGCCTGCCTCTAAATTCCTATTTAAAAAGTCTTCCAAATTGCAAACTGTAAGCTCAGGCTTTTCTGATAAATCCTACCAGTTTGTACAGAAATAATATCAACTATATATACACTTATCCAGGGAATGAGAAATGAGTAAAACTTTCTAGTTTGTTTTATGGAGTCACCATAATACTTTAACAAAAACCTGACAAAGACATTAAGAGAAAAAGAAAACTACAGGAAAACTTACTTTATTAATAAAGATTTTTTGTGTGGGGGGGTCTTTATTGAGACAACGTCTCCCTGTAGCCCCAGCTGGCCTGGAACTCATTATGTAGACCAGGCTGGCCTTGAACTCACAGAGATCCGCCTGCCTCTGCCTCCCATGCGCCACCACGCCCAGCTAATATTTTTAAAAGTTCAAAACAAAGCATGAGCTAAACAAATCTACCAATTCATTAAAAAATATAGCTAATAAAGCTGAATTTATCTTAAGAATGCAAGACTGGTTTAACATTAAAAAAAATTAATTCCACCGGGCCGTGGTGGCGCACGCCTTTAATCCCAGCACTCGGGAGGCAGAAGCAGAGGCAGGCGGATCTCTGTGAGTTCAAGGCCAGCCTGGTCTACATAGTGAGTTCCAGGACAGCTGCAGCTACAGGGAGACCCTGTCTCAAAAAGACAAAAAAAAAAAAAAAAAAAAAAAAAGATTAATTCCTCATATTGGAAGGCAGCTATGCTCACCACTATACTACCAACACAAATTCCTCATATTAATAGTATAGAACACGTTTCAACCATAAAAATTTGTAAGTAAGGCTGAAAAGACAGCTCAGTGGTTAAGAATGTTTGCTACTCTTCCAAAGGACCTGAGTTTGGTTCCTAGCACCCAGGTTGGACTGCACAACCACCTGTAACTCTAGCTCCAGGAGATCAGACACCCTCTTCTGGCCTTATAAATCTTTTTTAAAACTAGTAAAGTTTTTGGGCTGGAGAGATGGCTTAGCAGTTAAGACCACTGACTGCTCTTGCAGAGGACCCAGATTTGATTCCCAGCATCCACATGGTGGTTAACAACCGTCTGTAGCTCCAGTTCCAGGGAATCTGATGCATGCCTTTTTCTGATCTCTGCGGGGCATTGCACGACACAGGTGCACTTATACACAGGCAGGCACTCATACACATAAAATAAAAATAATAAATAAAATATTTTAAAAATAGTAAAGATCAGATAGATTTAATCGTTGCACACTACATTTTAACACAAATAATAGTTATTTGCCTATTTAAAAATAAATAGTGAGCAGGAAAGATGTCTCAGGGATAAAGAGAACTTGTTGCTCTTCCAGAGGACCCAGGTTTGGTTCCCAGCATCCACGTTGTGGTTCACAATCATTTGTAACTCCAGTTCTAGGTGATTAGATGCCCTCTTCTGGCCTCTATGGGAATCAGGCAAATACAAGGTTCACACATATACATGGAGGCAGACATTCATACACATAAAATAAAACTAAACCTTAAAAAATAAATATGTAAGCCAGGCATGGTGGCGCACGCCTTTAATCCCAACACTCGAGAGGCAGAGACAGGCGGATCTCTGTGAGTTCAAGGCCAGCCTGGTCTACATAGTGAGTTCCAGGACAGCTGGGGCTACAGGGAGACCCTGTCTCAAAAAGGATGGCTCAGCAGTTAAGAGCACTTGCTGCTCTTCCAGGTGACCAGGGTTTGAATTCCAGTACCTACATGGCAGCTCACAACTGTCTTCATGCACTGAATGCACAAACATACACTGGCACATACACATAAAAGAAACTAACTAAATAAACCTTTAAAATAAATAAATATATCTACTCATGATTTCATAAAATTATACTTAGCAAAATAAAAATAGAAGACAATATTCCTAATCTATGAATGGTATCCATACAAATATACAGTAAACCACATTATGGTGGTGAAATGTTAGAAGCTTTCCATCTGAGATGAATAGTGAGATGAAGATCCCTATAATCCCTACTACTCATCAATGATGTCCAAGATTACCTAGCCCATAAAAGAAAAAAATTCATGGAAAACATAAGAGCTGAAAATAAGAACTAATGCTATTATTATTTGCAGGTGACATATCAATATACAAAGGAATTAATCTACAGATTAGAAATAGTGGATATGAAATCAAAACACAAAATTCAATTTGAATTTTATACCATAGCAAAAGCAACTCAAATGTCTTTGACAATAATATAAAATAGCAAATACATAAGAATACATTATAAGTAACTTAAAAACTCAGCAACAAAAAAGCAAGTGACCTAATTTAGAAATGATTAATAGGGAGGCTGGAGAGATACATCAGCAGTTAAAAACACTGACTATTCTTACAGAAGACCCGGGTTCAAATCCCAGCACCCACATGGTAGCTAACAACTACCCTTAACTCCAGTTCCAGGGGAATCCACAGCCTCTTCTGTCCTCTATGGGCATTGTACAACACGGGTGCACTGACCTACACGCAGGCAATACATGAGTACACATAAAATAAAAATAATAAAATATTTTTTAAAAAATGATTAATGGGGGCGAGGGCTGGAGAGATAGCTCAGCAGTTAAGAGTACTTGTTGTGCTTGAAGAGGACCCAGGTTCAGTTCCCAGCATCAACATGGTGGCCAGGACCCACATACTGGCTGTGCTGGATAGCTTTAGTGTCAATTTGACACACCTGGGTTGAGGGAGCCTCAATTGGGGAATTTCCTCTATTGGACTGGCCTGTGGCCATGTCTGTGGGGCATCTTCTTGATGAGTGATGTGGGAGGGCCCAGCCCACTGTGGGTGGTGCCACCCCTGGGCAGGTGGGCCTGTGTTGCATAAGAAAGCAGGCTGAGCAGGGGCCAGGGGAGCAACCCTGTAAGCAGCGTTCCTCCAAAGCCTGTGCTCCAGCTCCTGCCTCCAGGTTCCTGCCCTGAGTTCCTGCCTTGGGCTCCCTGATGAGCTACAACCTGGGAGATGTAAGACAAACCCTTTCCTCCCCAAGTTGGTAGTGGTCAGAGTGTTTTGTTGCAGCAATGAAGAACAAACTAGGACACTGGCCAACACCCATCCTTAACTACAATTCCAGGGAATCTGATACCATATTCTGGCCTTCAGTCATTGAGTGCACATGGTACTTTACATACATGCAGGCAAAATGTACAAAGATCAATAGACATTTCCAGGAAGATATACACATGGCCAACAAATATATGAAAAATGCTCAACATCATTAAGTATCGGGGGAATTCAAATAAATACAAAAATAAGATAATCACCTCATTTGAGTTACAATAACTACCATAAAAATCACAAATGCTGGTAAGAATGTGTAAAAAGGTGGGGCTGGAGAGATGGCTCAACAGTTAAGAACACTGATTGTTCTTGCAGAAGACACAAGTTCGAATCCCAGCACCCACATGGCAGCTAACAACTGTCCATAACTCCAGTCCCAGGCGGTCCAACAGCCTCTTCTGACATCTTCTATTGGTAAGAACATGTGGGGGCACCCATTGTTCTGTAAATAAGCCCCCACCCTATGCTCTGTTAGCAAGCCCAATAAACTCATTAGAATTTTCCAAAAGAGAAAAACAAAAGAACAGAGCTAACGGAAACCTTCATTAATCCACCAAAGTTGATCTCATGTTTACAAATCCTTTGGTCTTTGATTTCTTCTTCCTATTTTTCCCCCTTAAACTTGTATATATGTTTTTATGTAACCTGTCTCAAGTTATTTCTGGAAATGTGTTAAAAATTGCCCCTCTTTGGAATAATTAAAAAAAGAAAAGAAAAGAAGAACATAAATTAGTGCAGCAGTTAAAGAAAACAGCATAAAGTTCATTCAAAAAATTAAAAATATGACTACTGGGGCTGGAGAGATGACTCAGGAGCACTGGTTGCTCTTGCATAGGACCTGGGTTCGATTCCCAGCACCCACATGGCAGCTATGAACCGTCCTTAACTCCAGTTCCAGGGGAATCCAATGCCCTCTTCTGACCTCTGCAGCATTGCATGACACAGTGCACTCACCATACATGCAGGCAATACATTCATACACATAAAATAAAAATAATAAAAAATACTTTAAAATATGCCTACAATATGACCTAGCAGTTCTACTACTGAGATATGTCCAAATGAAATAAGTATGTCAAAGAGACATCTGCATTTCCAAGTTTATTAAGACATGGAAACAACCAAGGTGTCAACAAGTGAATGCAAAAAATGTGGCATGCACACACACAAATGTACATGCACAGAGGCACACAACTGTATTTATACACACTAATGTGTACATGTATAGAGTGGGATATCATTCATCCATAAAAATAAGGAAATTTTATAATTTGCAATAAGATGAACCATTAAATAAACCAGACCAAAAACTCCCAACTGCATGATCTCACATGTTGAATCTAAAAAGATTAACTGAATTAAAATAGGATGTAGCCTCATGGTTGCCAGGAACTTGGTAGTACAAGGAGATGAAGAGATGTTCATTCAAAGGTATAAACTTTTAGCTGTAACATGAACAAGTTCTGTAACTCTAATGTGGACTACAGGTGCGTTATGTGTATGTTAATAAATTTGTGATCATTATTGCAGAGTACATATGCATAAGAATAAGGTGAAAGAATTTTCTAACTTCCTACCAAGTCACGAAGATGAATGAAAAAGACAATTTGATGGGGGTTGGAGAGATGGCTCAGAGGTTAAGAGCACTGGCTGCTCTTGCAAAGGACCCGGGTTTGGTTTCCAGCACCCACAGGGCAGCTAAAAACCATCCATAACACCAGTTCCAGGGGATGTGATGCCCTCTTCTGACTCCATGGACATTGCACAATACGGTGTACTTACATACATGCAGGCAATACACTCATACACATAAAAAACACAAGTAAATAAAAAAAGATTTAAATTTAAAATAAAAGTGTAGTATTGGTGCAAACTGTACCCCACAGGATAGATAATAGAACCCAGATTGGGACCCTAATTTGCAAAGGTTTCATTTATGACACAGCGGGTGCTAGAAAACCATTGGGACACACAAGCCTTTCCAATGCAAGGAGCCTCATCCTGGGATGAACATCCAGATGGACATGCAGATGAACAAAATGAGCTTTTCCCAATGCTGTCTGCACACACAAACTCCACATCCAGGTGGACTGCAGTGGGAAAGAAGGGGTGATAAATTTCACATATTCCCTCTGCTTTAACTTACTTAGTTTTGATTTCCCACTGTTGTTTCATGGTCAAAATCTCTAATTTCATGAATTTTAACCTTTGTCTGTCTTTATGTGACGAAAGCACAACCTGACTGTTTCATTTCTCTTGAGACTTTTGGTTCATTGTCCTACTCTAATGTTCTGTTGGTTTTATTCATTTCCATTTCTAAATTTTGCTTACCAATTTTCATTTCCCCACTTTTGGCACTGTTCCAAGGTTAGTGTATTAAGAACTTCTGTGTAATCAGCATACACCCATTTCACTGGGGTTGTCTGAAGGAAGCAACATGTGTGGTGATTACATCATTAGGGACTTTGGGTCTTTCCAGAGTCAGAATGAGAGATTTGAAAACAAATTCACTTTCCTTACATTATGAGTAGCTCCTTTAATACATGGCCTTAGTAGGAAGTGGTATGGGGTGGTCACATTTGAAGGGGGGTGGGTGAGAGGTAGAGAAAGAGCATGAGGAGTTCTTTCGTCTGAGACTTACAGGCTCACATAAAAGAGAAAAATAGGATGCTTAGGTAGGTCAGCTCATGGCAAAGAGAATGCCCAGAGAAACAGTAAAGAATTTACTAAAAACTAAGGCCAGGTGCGATGGTACACACGTTTAATCCCAACACTCAGGAGGCAGAGGCAGGTGGATCTGAGTTTCAGGTCAGCCTGGTCTGAGTTCCAGGCCAACCTGGGCTACAGAGTAAAAGAAACCCTATTTCAAAAAAATAAAAACAAACAAAACATAAAAAGAAGCCACTCGAAGGACACTTGTGTAAACCTGTGCCAAGCCACATCTGAAGGTCACAGAGGGCTTGGGTGAAGGAGCACAGAGTGGCAGAAGATGGCTCACACTGGAGGTTATGCCAGTGAATCAAACTGACGAGGCTGGGTTAGAGTTAGAGAATTACATGCAGCCAGTTAGGATTTAGAAAGAACATATCGGGTGGAATAATGAATGAAGCTAACTGAATTGAGAAGTATGAGGAGCTGTGATCTGTAGTCTCCAGGACCATGTGTGTGAGATGGAGAGAAGAGAATGGGATCAAACCCAACAAGTACCAAGTGAATCCTCAAGTGACTCCAAATAAACATCAGCTGTCTCAGGTGAGGAGACTATGACCTGGGCAAGGACTCACAAGGGGCCAGGATCTCTAGCTTTTTGCAGTATCTATAGCAACCTAACAATCTTTCCTGGTGGCCAGCTCTAAAGAGGGTGGAGCACCTAAGGAACAGGAGAGTGCTGTGTACTCTCACCACATACTCAGCCTCATTAGGAGACCAGAATGGTTTGAACAAGAAACACTGTCATGTATGAAGACACAACGGGTGATAAGGAGTGAGGCAGGACGGTCCTTACCCATGATTCTTTCTGTAACCTGAATCTTAGCACATGACACTTACCTTTCCAGGACCTCACGTGCTCTAAACCAGAGAGAGAGACTCTTCTTGGCATCAATGTGTGTCCTGGTTTCTTGCTACTGCTGTGCTCAATTGACAGGAGCTGCTTTTCTTGGTGCCGTTCAGAGAGATGGCTCGGTTTGGGGGGGCGGGGAGGTGGAATGTTGGACATAATGTCTACTTCTTTTGCCCCATAGGGCAAGGAAACTTGGTTTTTATCTACATGGATTGTGGGATTTAGGGAGGATTCCAACAATGGTGAAGAAGACAAGTGGTCCCCGGATGGGCCATTGATTTCTCTATTCCAGATCAGAGCAGCCTGAGGCCTGATAGAAGGTGCCTCCTGAGATCCATTCCCATGACGCTTGAGGTGAACAAAGCTACTAGAGGTAAGTGGCTGTAGGCCATCAAGAAAAACATCATCAAATGAAGTCTGTTCCAATGAGCGGTCTGAATTTGACCAGCTATCACATCTGTTGGGAAGACTGAGGTGAAGAAAACCATGTAAATTTAATGGGATTATAGCCATCCACACACAAAATCCACCCTTCCTCCATTCCCATGTTTCCAGTGCCATCTTGTTTTTCTACTTATAGAGCTTTATTCCTTCTACAACCCAACCCCATGGTACAGAAAAAAACATTTTTTTTTTATTTTTTTCTCCATCCTATAAGTAGCAGGTGCATGCACATGAAAATGCAAAGTTAGAAATGAAAGCCACAATGCTGAAATGTGTGACTCATTTCATTTAGTATGCCACTTCGTTTTTACTACAGGTATTGACAGTGATCTACCCCCACCCTTAGCAGCGGTAAGGAAAGAGATGAAAGCAGAAATGCCCACTAGAAAATACTTTTGCTAAACTAAGACTGATTTGGCTAGGTGCTATAAGCACATCTGAAAGACAGACTCTGCAGGAGGATGCAGTGTGGGCTCTAAGAAGAAAGGAGAACATGCTAGAAGGCCCACCTGTGTCTCAAGAGTAAGCATACCTGGCATGATGCAGTCTTCCCGTCTCACAGTTGGACAGGACCAGATAATCAGGAAGGAAGAGAAACTCTGGTTCACTTCTGGTTTCCTCAGTGGCTATGGTATTAGTGTTTGGGTCATCTTTTGGCAAGGCAGAGCTGGCAGCATGGGCTATATGAAGTGAGCTGGCAGGGCCTGGCTGGACGGAGGAGGGCATGTGAGAGAGGCTCTCCGTGGAATCTGCTGCAGAAATAGTTTCCCAGGTTAGTGTTTTAAGAATGGCTATAACACTCACTCAGAATAACTCAAACAGCATCCAAGAACCAAATAGAAGATGCAAATCACAGCTGGTGTTTGTACTGGTGGAGGCGACCATTTCCTCAAGCTATAAACAATGTCTGGAAAAGAAGGCCAATGTTCCAAGAGTGAAGTGTTGAATCAATTAAGAGTAAAACAGCCCAAGCATTCTTGGCCCCAAAATCCTGCAGTTCAATAGTCTACACACAGCTTGATAGTAACAGCCTTACATCATTGTTTATTCACTCAATAAATATACACATAGCTACACATATGTATTTATACATAACAAGTCTATATGTATCTATTTATATACGCATATAAGAATACATAAATACCAAATGGATTGGGTATCACTAGGTATGTAGCTCTGTAGTAGACCACATGCCTAGCATGACCAAGGCTCTGGATCTGATCTCAAAAACTGCAACAATGATAATAATAATAAATATAACAATAATAGTGCCAAGTACTTTGTACCAGGACAATAGCAAAGATGCCTTGACAATGCCACAGGAATTAGTGGAACCCTAACTATTACTGGGCCAAGAATGCTAAAGTATAAACTCATTTGAAAGACTTTCTGTTGAGAAGAAAGTGCTGCCAGGGTGTCCAATTCACAAGATGCCCTGCTCATACAAGGCTATCCAAGATCAGCTGTCCAGGTATTCAGAGGATGCTGCAGCCATGTTTCTAGAGGGACCACTTACCATCATGAACTGATGGCAAACACTGGCATCATTCATAAGAAGCTAGTTTTGCAGTGATGTAAAATTTAAGAGCTATTAGAAGCTTCTATCCAGATTTCAAAGGAAAGTGTGGGAAACAAAGCAATGTGAATCAGGATCAGGTTCTCTGGGAGCAGCTCATGAGAAGGCATTACATAAATCTGTGAGAACAAAGCTGAAGACATAGTGGAGAACCCAGGAAGTTGGAGATGCCAAGAACATGGAACATCTGCTAAAGAAAGGTACAGGCAGCAAACAGAGCCAGCACAGGAAGAAGGCCACATGAGCTATAGCTGGCAAGATTGGAGGGGGAGGGCTGCCCAAGCCCTTGGGAGCTCACATCATAGTACCATATGCTCCAGCTGCTGGACATGATGAACTCTTGTGCTGTCCACACTGTGCTGCCTAGGATGTGAAACTTCCCTTTGTTCAGCATGTGCACACTGGCATCAATCTCACAGAGATTCACCTGCCTCTCCCTCCTGAATGTTGGGATTAAAGGCATGTGCCACCACACCTGGCACAATGATTGTTTTTAAATAACATATTGTTGCTTAATAATGCCCTGAATGTGCAAGAATAGTGATCCTAGTAATTTCCTTATATAAAAGAGTTTCTGCTTGTACAAAAAGGTGACACATTTTCACTTATAAGAAAAAATTCTATACAAAGGTTGAAAAGTTGATGTAGGAATAAACCATCTATCCATAAAATTGTGAAGGAAAAATAAATTTGTGCTAATTTTGCTGTCCCATTTCAAACTGCAAAAGTTAAGTGATGCTCATAGTGTATGTTGAGTGCTTACTTAAGATAGAAAGGGAGGGGCTGCAGAAATGGTCCAGCAGTTAAGAGAACTTGCTGCTCTTTCAGAGAACCGAAGTTTGGTTCTCAGAACCCACACTGCAGCTCACGCCCACCAGTAACTCCAGCTCCAGGGGAACCAACAACCTTTTCTGCATCTGCAGACATCAACAAGCAACACATGTGCACTTACATACATACAGGCAAAACACTCATACACATAAAATAAAAATAAATCTTTTTTAAAAAGATGAAAAGGAGGAGCTGGAGAGATAGCTCAGTGGTTAAGAGCACTGACTGCTCTTGTAGAGGACCCAGGTTTGGTTCCCAGTACCCACATGGCAGCTAACAACTGTCTGTAACTCCAGTTCCAGAGGACCCAATGCCCTCTTCTGACCTCTGCATGCACGACACAGATGCACTTACCTACATGCAGGTAATACACTCATACACATAAAAAATAAAAAAACAAGGCAGACTTTCTGTTGAGAAGAAAGTGCTGCCAGGGTGTCCAATTCACAAGATGCCCTGCTCATACAAGGCTATCCAAGATCAGCTGTCCAGGTATTCAGAGGATGCTGCAGCCATGTTTCTAGAGGGACCACTTACCATCATGAACTGATGGCAAACACTGGCATCATTCATAAGAAGCTAGTTTTGCAGTGATGTAAAATTTAAGAGCTATTAGAAGCTTCTATCCAGATTTCAAAGGAAAGTGTGGGAAACAAAGCAATGTGAATCAGGATCAGGTTCTCTGGGAGCAGCTCATGAGAAGGCATTACATAAATCTGTGAGAACAAAGCTGAAGACATAGTGGAGAACCCAGGAAGTTGGAGATGCCAAGAACATGGAACATCTGCTAAAGAAAGGTACAGGCAGCAAACAGAGCCAGCACAGGAAGAAGGCCACATGAGCTATAGCTGGCAAGATTGGAGGGGGAGGGCTGCCCAAGCCCTTGGGAGCTCACATCATAGTACCATATGCTCCAGCTGCTGGACATGATGAACTCTTGTGCTGTCCACACTGTGCTGCCTAGGATGTGAAACTTCCCTTTGTTCAGCATGTGCACACTGGCATCAATCTCACAGAGATTCACCTGCCTCTCCCTCCTGAATGTTGGGATTAAAGGCATGTGCCACCACACCTGGCACAATGATTGTTTTTAAATAACATATTGTTGCTTAATAATGCCCTGAATGTGCAAGAATAGTGATCCTAGTAATTTCCTTATATAAAAGAGTTTCTGCTTGTACAAAAAGGTGACACATTTTCACTTATAAGAAAAAATTCTATACAAAGGTTGAAAAGTTGATGTAGGAATAAACCATCTATCCATAAAATTGTGAAGGAAAAATAAATTTGTGCTAATTTTGCTGTCCCATTTCAAACTGCAAAAGTTAAGTGATGCTCATAGTGTATGTTGAGTGCTTACTTAAGATAGAAAGGGAGGGGCTGCAGAAATGGTCCAGCAGTTAAGAGAACTTGCTGCTCTTTCAGAGAACCGAAGTTTGGTTCTCAGAACCCACACTGCAGCTCACGCCCACCAGTAACTCCAGCTCCAGGGGAACCAACAACCTTTTCTGCATCTGCAGACATCAACAAGCAACACATGTGCACTTACATACATACAGGCAAAACACTCATACACATAAAATAAAAATAAATCTTTTTTAAAAAGATGAAAAGGAGGAGCTGGAGAGATAGCTCAGTGGTTAAGAGCACTGACTGCTCTTGTAGAGGACCCAGGTTTGGTTCCCAGTACCCACATGGCAGCTAACAACTGTCTGTAACTCCAGTTCCAGAGGACCCAATGCCCTCTTCTGACCTCTGCATGCATTGCACAGTACAGGTACACTTACGCATACACACATGCAGGCAATACACTCAGAAACATAAAATAAAAATAATAAAATATTTTTTAAAAAATGAGCTGGGTGTAGTGGCGCATGCCTTTAATCCCAGCACTTGGGAGTCAGAGGCAGGTGAATCTTTGTGCGTTTGAAGCCACAATGAGTGAGTTCTACATAGTGAGTTCCAGGCCACCTGGGGTTATAGAGAGATTGTGCATCAAAAAGACAAAAAAAGAAAGAAAGAAAAAGAGCCAGGCATGGTGGTGTATGACTTTAATCCCAGCATTTGGAAGGCAGAAGCAGGCAGATCTCTGTGAGACTGAGGCCTGACTGGTCTACATAGTGAGTTCCAGGCCAGCTGGAGCTATACAGAGACCCTGTCTTAAAAAGGAAAAAAAAAGATAAAAAGGCATTAAACTTGTGTGTATATGCATAGAGAAAATTACATACTATCATAAATACAGTTTGGTCCTATCTGAAGTTCCAGGCATCTACTGGAGATTTTGGAATATATGTCCTGCAAATAAAGGCGGTTGCTGTATGTGAAAAGCCACAAGAAAGTCTTTGTAACATGGCTCTCAGATGAAAACGGATGAAATGAAAGGAGTTGTAGGGAAGTTTCTTGGCTTCCTCCAACTTCATAGCAGGGCAGGGCTAGACTCTTCCTAATGCCTTATTCCTGTTCCTCTTGAGTTATTCGAAAACACACTACATATGTATGATAACTACTAGATGAGAAAAGAGAAGCATGATGGGATGCATGAATATGTAGCTAACTTGTGCTGAAGGTAGCAAGTAGTGTTAGTAGAGAGCCAGCAGCAAACAAGACTGGGGGAAAAGTTGGTCAGGGAGGCTCTGCTTGGTTTGCTTGACATCAGACGCTAGTCATGATAGACATAGTGCCACTTTGCAAGCTGTGTCTGTTGCAACAAAGATAAAGTATTTGCTGTCACTTCATTTCCTTTTATTTGAGTGCTCTCCAAGCTCAGCAATGTTACTGAACTATCTCACTTAATAAACTTTGCTGGCTCATGACAAAAACAAAAGGAAGCACACTCTCACGCCTGACTAGAGATGCAACTCTAACGCTCCATTGCCACCTGGTGTTACAATGTGGACATGTCTGTGGCAGATGATAAAAAGCAGAACATTACCACTGAAATGTTGAAACAACTGAACCAGGATTGGGGTAAAGATTTTTGTCTACTAAATGAAGAGGTCAAGAGAAATCAGATTCAAAATCCCCCACTTTAACTGTGAGAATATGGTACAATAATTCTGGGGCTCAACAATAAAGTCTACAAAAGGAAGTGAATTATAAGCTAGGCTCTAACTTCCTGGTATATTACACAGTGTATGGGGAAGGAGGAAAGAGAGAAGGAGGGATGGAAGAAGGAGAGGACAGGGAGAAGAGGAAGGAGGAGGAAGAGGAGGAGGAATCTTTTCACATTTGGACCTGAATCCTACTACCAAGTAAAATACAGCAATTTTCAGTACTGTACTGAATTTAGTGGGAGTACTTCTGATTATATAAATTAGACTGCCAAAACACGTTCACAGAGGCAGTTTTGGTATTACGCATCATTTTTGTGCAGTAGCTCTCCAGTGCCAGCACAGTATCTTGGACCATAACTTTGCTCATAAGAATCCCAATGTTGCTCTTACCTGCACCATCCAGGTGACTGAGGTTGCAGACCTGACTGATGCTATGCACCCACACCTGCATTTCTTCTTCAGTCTTGGCCACTAGGTAGAATGTACGAGAAGTAGTCTTGACAATGAACACAAAATTGTTCTGAAATTCTTTCCGAACAAAGCCAGGGCCTGCATGCTTCCACACAGCACATTCACTGAGGTCTATCACACGGATGGGCTTGCTGGAGTGTTTGTTCCGGTAGTACTCCAAGACATCAGGGTTACCACTCATGCGGCCCCGCCGAAGGACAAACCAGCGCTTGCGCCAAGCCTGCAGAGGCAATTGGACATGGAGTTATTGTACCAAGTGTTCTTGTTTCTCAGGCTCTGACAAGAACCTTTTAGGAGGGGCAAGGACATCAGGAAAGAAAAAAAAAAACCAGCCATTTTAAAGAGACACTGTTTTTGAGAGAGAGGGTCTCATGTAGTCCAGGCTGGTCTCAAACAATGTATAGCCAAGGATAACCTGAAACCTCTGATCTTCCTGTCTCTATTTCCCAAATGCTGGGATTACAGGTGTCCACCACCATGCCCAACTTTCTAATGAGACCTTGGTATTAGAAAGCATGTGTACCAGCTTCAAGTCTAATTTACTGCATAGTTTTAAAGACAAGTAATTATTGTAGAGTCTAATAATGCAATATCCATCCAAAGTTTGGATAAGAAAGGGAGGAAGCCATGAGTTCCTTATCTTCTTACATTTAGGTGTCCCTTGGTCATCTCATGCCACCTGGCCAGCCCACATGCTTTCTGCTTCAGAGAACGGCAGCATTAGTCACAACTGGGAATGAACAGAGAAAGGCAACAGGGCGACAACAAATGCAAGTGGAGAGATTTATAGCTCTGTGGTTTCTCTCCCATGCAGTGGCATGCATGAGAGCCAGAAGTGTGGTCCTGCCAGGAGGCATGGTGACCAATAGAAAAGGAAACCTTTTGTATCTATAGCTGAGAAGCCCATCCTGAGCATGAGACCAGGGAAAAGGAAAAAGAAGAAGCCACTGTTTAGACTGCATTCAACTCTCTCTCTCTCTGCCCAGATAACATGAGATCCAGGCCAACAGAGAATCCAAAGTTGTGCTGAAAATCAAAAGCAGAAGACCCTCAAGTATGTCTTAGAATCAAACACCCTTTTGAGACTGTGACAGAGGACAGCAAGCAAGAGAACAGTCACTGAGCTTGGTTGGAGCAGATAAACCCCGCCCTCGTTCTACCTTGAGATGCATGTAAAGCTCTGAGAAGAGATTTGGCTTTTAGAGAACATAACTGGCATGTGTAGATTCAAGGGCCAGTCTTCAGCACTGCCAAAAAGAAAAGAAAAGGTGGTAGGGAAAGCCAAACCTATTTTCTCTATTTAAGAGAGTTTCAAGTTTTGAAAACTGGAAATACTGGAAGACCTTTCCGTTAATTGGTAGATCCTGTATACAGCATTTCTTGTATACCTTGTTCTTCAGTTACTGAACAGTTAACAGCTTTCACTTTTTAATATCAGAATTTAATGGCCACATATGATATTAATTCCTATTGTATAAACTACTGTACAGAAAGGCTTTGGGTTTTATACACTATTAACATTTTAAGTGGGGATAATATGACTAGACTTGGTGCTGATGTTAAACTTATCTGAAGCTAAAATGTTTAAAAGGTAAAACATGTTTTTAGTATTGTATGAAAGTGTGGAGTAAATGTATTTGTTTGAAATTTGTACTGTCCTTGAATTTAAACTATGTCTTGCTGGTCTAGTAAGAATATGTGAATTGTAATATGCCTTCACAGCTTTTTAAAGATGTGTCACCCTAAAAAAAGAAAGAAGTGATGATGCAATGCGACTGTGTTATTAAGACTGGAGAAGTAACAGCATGCTTGCATACTTATCGAGATGATCTAGGAAGGAGAGAGAAATGAATGACTCAAATTCCTACTGTAAAAATATGGCAATGAATGGAAGTGGGCCATTAATGAGGATGGGATCTCAAGCCCTAGTCTGGGGTTTGGAACACAGGAAATAGGAAACTTGAATTTGGGAATCAATAAAGACAAACAGAATGGGATGATGTCATGCCTGTCTACTAAGGAAACCTTCCCCAGGGAGCCTGGAGTACCCCAAACTTTCCAAAAGCCACTTTGGTGAGGAAATGTGAAGAGGAACTTTCTTCTATTTCTCAAGAAAATAAAATGGTTCCAAAAGAGGAAATCATAGTGAGCACAGAAATGAGTTTCATGTTAACTGCTCTTAATACAAAAGGAGAAAGACACAGACAAGTTTGTCATTCATTCAACAAATACCAATTGATAATCTACTAATATGATGTACACTGTGCAGATACTAGGGAACCCAAATAGAGCAAGTCACAGGTAGTGCTACTCCCAGTCTGTGGGTGGCAGGGGAAGTGGGCAGATGGATAATCTGATAATTGCAGTTAGTCAGACAAGTGCTATGATAAGAGAAAAACCAAGATGCTAAGGGAACACACAAGAGAGAGAGACCTCTGTCAGATCAAGGGCTGGGGCACTCCAGGAAGAAATGGTGACTAAGCTGAGACTGAAACAGTGCAGAGGAAGGAGTGTGCACAAAGACATGAAGGAAAAGGCGTGAAGCCTTGTGTAAGTAGTTTAACAAGACTGGAAGGGGCAAAAAGAGTCATGCAGTAATTCAAGTAGGATGTAATGCGGTCTCGGTGGTAAATCATGCAAAATTACCACCATGGGCTCTGCTAGGTTTTAGAATGTCTACCTAAGAGCTATGATTGTACAAAAGCCAAAACAATGTGTCCTTGAAGCTATTTGCTGAGTAAGTAGGTCAATAAGCCAGATTGGTCAATGCATAAACATGAAGAAAAAGCTTTTGCACAGCAAAGGAAATGGCAAAATGAAATGATAACTCATGGACTGTGAAAATATATTGGCAAACCACACATCTGATTAGATGTTACTACCTAAACTTTATAAAGAACTTCTAGAACTGGAGAGATGGCTAAGTGCTTAAGAGTGCATACTGCTCTTGCAGAGAGGGTCCACATTTGGGTCCCAGGACCCACACCAGGCAGCTCACAACTGCCTGTAACTCTAGCTCGAGATCCAACTCCTTCTGGCCTCCAAAGGCACCTGTACTCTCACATGCACATACCCATTCACAGATACACATAGACACACAGGTACATTGACACACATACAAATAAAAATAAGTCTTCTTAAAAAATAGATAAAAAGTTTAAAGAACATCTACAACTAGCCTGGCATGGTGGTGTACACCTTTAATCGCAGCACTCGGGAGGCAGAGACAGGTGGATCTCTGTGAGTTCAAGGCCAGCCTGGTCTATATAGTGAGTTCAGGTCAGCTGGGACTACAGAGAGACCCTGTTTCAAAAACACACACAAAAAAGAACATCTACAACTCAATAGCAGGACAACAAATAACCCCAGTTATAATGGGGGAAGGATCTGAAGATAAACTTCTTCAATGAAGATATATAAAAGGCCAAAAGGTATATGAAAAAAAAAAGTTCAACATCACTGATCACTAGGTAAATACAACTTAAAATAAGATATGACCTTGTACCAGTTAGGTTATCTATTATAAAAGACAGAAGTGTTTGTGGGGGTGGAAAGAAAAGGAAACCCTTGTACACTGTTAGTGGAAATATAAATTTACATGATCCCTATGAAATTAAAACCAGAAGTACTACATGGCCCAGTAATGCCTCTTCTGGATATACACCCCAAACTCAAAATAAACACTTTGCAAAGATGTCTGCACTAACATGTTCAGTCCAGCATTATCTGTTCACCACTGGACGAATGGGCAAAGAAAATATGGTACATCTACACAATCGAATACCATATAGCTTTGAAAAGGAAGGAGAGTGGGGCATTTGCCAGGTGCACCTGGAAAACATTACATCAGCTAAAATAAACCAGACACAAAGAAAAATATAGTATGATCTCATTTATATGTGGAGTCTTTTAAAAGTCTAATGCCCAGAGATAAGGAAACAGTGATTACCAAGGGTAAGGCTTACAAGAAAATGGGGAAGTGTAGGTCTGAGTAAACAAGGCAGCAGATGGATAAGGTGAAGAAGTCTAACGAGCTAATATCCAACATTAAAATGCATTGGATTAGATATTTTTGTTAAATAAGTATATTTTAGATGCTCTCATCAGAAAGAAAATAACTATATGAGGTAATATGGTAATACACCTCACTATGATGACCATTTCGCTATCATAGTATCATGTTATAAAGCTGAAATATACACAATATCTACTTTGAAAAGCAAATAACAAGACAGAGGGACACTATTAATTAAAAGACTGAAAAGATATATGCACAGGAGATTTTGTTGTTTTGAGACAAAGTCTTGTTATATAACTCAGGCTGGCCTTGAACGCACTCTGTAGCGCAGACTGGCTTCTAACTTATGACACACCAACCAGACGCACTCTGTAGCGCAGACTGACTTCTAACTTATGACACACCAACCAGGAAAGAGGGGCTGAGACTTGAACCTGTTTCACTGTTATAAGTTGAATTGTGTTCCCCTACCCAAATTCACATCGAGGGCCCACCCTTTAGTACCTCGCAATATCACCCTATTGAGAAATAGGCTCTTTACCAAGTTAAGGTGAGGTCACTAGGGTGAGCCCTAATCATACATGACTGATGTCCTTATAAAAGGAGAAACTGGGCACAAAGCTGTGCATAAGGAAAACATTCTGATGAGACACAGGGATAAGATAGCTACTTAAAAGCCAAGGAGAGAGGCACGGGAGCACACTCTCCTCACAGTTCTCAGAAGGAACCACCTCTGCTGACACTTTGATTTCAGACTTGTAACCTTCCAAACATGGAAATGCAATTCGGCTAAGGAAGTCTGTAGTGCTTTGTTATAGTATCCATTCCTCAACCTTTAGCATATATATAGAGAGAAAGCATCTACTGGCAGTCATATTGGTATACCTGGCACCGAGCTTGCCTACTACCCAAGAAACCAATTAGAAAACTAGTTCAAATAAATATATGATGCTGTCTGTATAGGGCTGTGATATCTTGATGAGGAAAACAAAAGAGATAAGCCCTATGATCATGCCATTTTTTTATAATTTTTTTTTAAAGATCATGCCATTTTTTACATTATAAGCACTTTCTGGACCACAGCAATCTTACAGAATAGAGAACGTAGATATCACAATTCCAGGTGTTTGGGTGACTACAACTTGCTGGGAAAAAAACTAGAGAAGATAGGACTATGTAAGTATCACCACATATATACATAG